TGGAAAGCCAGTTTGCTCTGTAAACTTTCACTCAAATCAAGAAGTTTCAAAAGAGATTCCAGTCTTAGAAACTCATAGGGTACTTCTGCTCTGTCTTGGAGGGTTGCCATGAGTAAAATTCAGTTCAACAGGTATGTAATATAGTTAGTCCTCAAGCTTCTTTGCCCTCAGGATAACTTTATTAAGCTTCTTCTTTATAAAATTACCTGGTTCATGTTTAAACTCTTTAGCCTAAACAAACTGGGTAATGTATAAGCATTTTTGAGTTTTGCTATGTTACATACCTTGATTAAAGAAGAAACATACATAAAATTATTTCCACAAGGATCTTTAATTTTATTTGGTAAAATTAGGGAGATTATTCAAAGACATAAAACAGTGATCAAACAAAATACAGGCACACCTTGTTTTATTGCACTTCCACTTTACCGTGTTTCACACATACTGCATATTTTCAAATTAAAATGTTTATGGTCAACCCAGCAATGAGAAAGTCTGTCAATGCTATTTTTCTTACAGCATATGCTCACTTCATGTCTCTGTCACATTTTGGTAATTCTTACAGCATTTCAAACTTATTAATGCTGTTGCACGCTTAATAGACTACCACCAACAAAACTCCAAACCTAATGCTGTTGAGTGGCTGGTGGGTTTGAACCATCAACCTTATAGTTATTAGTCCAATGCCTAACCCACAGCACCACCAGGTTTCCTTTAATAGAATATAATATAGTGTAGACATAACTTGTGAATTCACTGGAAAACAAAAAAATTTGTGCGACTCAGTCTATTGTGATATTTGCTTTATTGCAGTGATCTGAACTCATATGCAACATCTCTGAGGACTGCCAACAGTATATAATAAAGAACGAACTACATAGAGACAGAAAATTAGATGTTTTACTGTTGCTAATTATGCAGTTCAGATAATTACACAGTGAAACAAGAAAAAGAATTGAGCAGGAAGGGTTAAAATTAATGTAAAAACAAAAATGGAATTGGAAAGAGGAGGAAATATTCAGTGATGGTGAATATTATGAACAGAGTCTGCAGAAGTTTTGGACTTAGGAAAAATTGGATAGGATTTAAGGCAAAGTAATAATTTATAAATTATCCACAAGACTTTGCACCCACCGGCCTGTGATCTTCCTGCATCATTGCATATGGCTTCGTGAGTCTGAAGAGGGATTTATGGATTAGAATTGGACTTATGAACTAGTATCAGCCTTATGGACTTGATTTGGACGGGGCTGGGATGTTTCCTCATATACAATTACTTGATAGAAAGCTCTTTTGTATACAATATTAATGTCTGGAATTGTTTGTCTAGTCGATCCAGCCTAACACAGACAGTATGTCTTTTTGCCTTCTTTATTCATTATCTGGTGATTTGATTCTCCTTGTTAAGAGTTCTATAGTAAGCCTAATACTTTAGACTTGACATTAATCGAGTATAATGAAGGAAATAATCTACCAATTTGTTATGGGTAAGAACAAAAATTCAAGGAATACTTTCAAACAATAAACAAACAATAGATACCAAGGGCTCAAGTAGAAAGCAAATGTTTTGAGAATGATGATGGCAACATATGTACAAATGTGCTTGACACAATGGATGGATGGATGGATTGTGATAAGAGTTGTACGCGCCCCCAATAAAAATGATTAAAAAACAAGCAATATTCTTAAAACTGAAGAAAAATGACAAAAAATTTTCAAATAAAAATGTTTCAGCTCTTCCCACTTAGTTGTAAAAGTACTGTATTTTTGGTGAAAGTATACATAGCAAAACATGGGTCCATTCAATAATTACCACATGTGGTGTTTAGTGACATTGGTTACATTCTTTAAATTGTGTCAACATTCTCATTATTTGTGTTCTAGTTATTTCATTCTCATTAACTTCATCCCCCAACTTTCACATTTATGTTTTTAAAGTAACTGTTGGTCATCTGGTCACACGAGTTAATTTTTTAAAAGAGCACAATGCTCAAAGGTGGCATTCTTTAATTTTTTAGTTAATCTGCTATTGAATTAAAAAGTATCTCGGGTGATAATTTTGATAAAAGTTTAAGGAATATCTCAAAGTTGTAGTCTCAGGGATTTCTCTAGCCTCCCTGGTTTTTTCTTCAAGTCTTGGTTCTTTAAGAATCAAAAGAAGAAAGAAAAAAAATCAAAAGTTTTGTTCCATGATTTTCTCTTTCTCTTAGGATCCTTCTGCTAAACTGGTGAATTGTCCGTTTGGTAGTAGTAGCCACAAAATTGCAGTTTAAACCCACCAGTTGCTCCCAGGAGAAAGCTAAGGCTTCCATAAAGATTTATATAGCCTTGGAAACCCTATACAGGGTACTTATGAGTTGAAATCCACTAGATTGCAGTGGGTTTGGGAACCAAGCACCGTCTAGTTCTGGTCCCTAACTAGAAGAAGCCATGATTCATGAAGACAGTGCTCTAGAATGGTTCCTTTTCTGATCCTTGGATTCCTTTATTTTCTTTTACTCCAGTTTTTTTCACTTAAATTTTAAGTGAAGTGTAAGGATTCTTCTATTTTCTGTGTAATTTAATTGCTAATTTTAGGTAAATACCCCCATTTTTCTTTCTTTCTCTTGTTAACATAAACTTCCTCACTGCCACTGAATCAGTGCTGACTCATAGCGACCATACAGGACAGGGTAGAGCTATACCTGTGGGTTTCTGAGACTGATTTCTTATGGGAGTAGAAAGCGTAATCTTTCTCCCACGGAGCATCTGGTTGTTTTAAACTGCTGACCTTGTGGTTAGCAGCCCAGTTCATAGCCTACTAAGTAATATATTTTCAGTAAGAAATACCATTTAAACAAAGAAAGGGTTGCTAATATAATTTTATATTTTAGTATAGTTTTTAGCATCTGGATTAACAGAAATAGCTAGAGTTTCACATCTGTTTCTGCATTCAGACAGTTGCTTTGTTATTTTGGTTCAAGTCTATGAGGAAAAACTGGCTTGGCAAAGATAGATGTTGGAAAATTTTAAAGTATTTTAATGGCCTTTTCATGTAATTATGAGATTCTTTGATACTATCCTTGGCTTTTTGAACATTCGGTTTATGCCACTTCATTTTCAGTTAAGACCTAAATGAGTACCTGTTTTGGCTATAAGTGAAAGGAACATTGGTGGATTAGTGGGTTCCACATTTAACTGCTAACCTCAAGGGCAGTGATTCAAATCCACTGGGCACTTTTTCTGGAGAAAGATGTGACTTTCTGCTCCATTAGAGATGCGAAGTCTTGGAACCCAAAGGGGCAGGTCTATACTGTCTTATAGGGTGGTTATGGGTCAGAATGGTCTAGATGGCACTGAATGGGTTTGGCCTACCTAAAGAAAGGCAGAAAGGGAAACGGGCATTTGTTTTGTAGGGAACCATTAAAGAGACAGTGCACACTGAGCAAGAGTAGCACCAGCAAGCTCCTTTCCTGTGCACTGCACTCGCACATCTCGGCTTCAAGTTAACTATGAACGGTGCAAACACTGCAGATTAGTGTTAGCTTAATTTTATGTGCTATTTGGTGTGATTCAATAGGTTATTTTTGGGATCATGGAGCACTCAAAAACTGTTGTTCAATATAAGTTCATGGTAATTGCTTCTTCACTTAACATTTTGACTTATGAAAGGATGGTGTGGTAAGCCTATTCTTCTTAATACTATATGTGAGCTACAAATACTGTATATCTTAGTTTCTGTTTTTAGAGGAATCTTCTTCCTTAAACAAGTCCTTCTTTGATAATCTTACTATTGCAATCTCTTCATTTATTCTTTTTAAGCAAGTCTTGCTCTGATAGTGTTTTTCAAGTAAAAGATTTTTCTGAATTGGAGTTGCCTTCTGTTAGTCACTGAGTAAGTTTGGCTTTTTATAAAGGGGCAATATTTAGTTCAAACCCTAACCAACAATAATTAAGTACAGTTGAAGTTTCACAGAATAATTGTGAAACTATTTCTTTATATCACTTATCAAATCAAAAAGTGAACACTATAAAACCTCCCTACCTTTAAGAACAAAACAATGAACACTACAAACCAAACCTTGATGCCTTTAAGAACAAAGCAAAGGAAAACACTTTGCCCTCCTGTACGAAGGAGAATTGAAGAATAAAGTAGAAGAAAACAGTCTTCCCCTGTTTAAGCATCAAAGCTCAATTTTATTCAGTTTTACTGAATTTCCCCTAGACCTACATGCTGGGAATGCAAGGATGATAAAATGCAGGCCCAGTGTCTTCACTTGATAAGATCTTCAAGAGCTCTTTGAAGAGCGCATACTATCTGAGAAGGTCATTAATTCTAACCAGGTGGAGAAGATTCAATGACATTTTTGGGGGGGAAATGACACTCATCCTTGAAAAAGCTTGCTTTTGATATTTTTCTATTAATTATGTCTGATTTTAATTTAACTTTTCTTCAATTGTGGGTTATATTTCTTATTTTAATTTTTTGAATTTTGGTGGCTTTTAGCATTAGGGTTGTTATGAAAAAGAACTCTAAAGCCAGGTAAAAATAAACGAAAATGAGGAGACTTCAAAAGTTCATGGAAAAATGAAATTAAGAAACAGTGAAATTTGCTGTGAACTATTTGAAGCCTGTGTGTGCATAGTGTACTGATACTATTGGATTATTTCTGTTGATAAGGAACCAGTTTTTACTACCATTAAAATGAGCTTTAATCTAGATTTTTTTTAGAGCATAGTTTCTCAATATTTCTGTTTGAAGTCCTTGGGCCAAAGGGGTGGTGAAGAGAGTGCTGACATAAAATTTCTGAGCAGATAGGAAGATACACTTTCTTCCAGAAACTTAGAAGGAAGTTGGTGTGATGATGGCCTATGGAGTAAGAATTGTCCAGTTCATCTTTCAGAGTGTATTCGAATATTATAATCTTAATTGGCACCTCTGAGTGAAACACGCTTATCTAGTTACTAACAAAACGTTTTTCCTTTTGTACATGTGATGTATTTATTTTTTCCCCCTTCAGCACAATTCTCCATCTAGTGATAACAGTTCAGATGACAGCCTTGCTTCAGATGTTGAACATACAGAAAGCTCCCGTAAAAAAGGAGCTGGTTTCTACAGGGATTATAACATTCCATTTCCTCAGGTATTGCCTTTTAAAGAGAATGTTGAAGCTTTCAATTTTATTGCTTTGCTTTTTGGTATTTTTGAATAATGTTTTATAAGACATATGCTAGAAACTTTAAACCTTTAAAAATAAAGACTATATAACAACAATACTAGTTCATCTAGAATTATTAGGAAATGAGGTAATAAAATTTGAAGATATATAGGTGATATCTACCTCTCTAAGTGTAAAAATTATTTCAGGTATTTTGAAAATTAATTTTAAAACATAGTAAACTTTCTATCATTCTTAAATATATTGCACTGTGTGAGCAGAGTCCTCTTTGTGAGTATGATTTATTTTCTCTACTAGAAAAATATTGATGCTCTCAAGAGCACTGGGGAGTGTCCAGGTCAATGTACACCAGTCTGAAATGATTTTCTGTTTTTTGCCACTCTGTCACTGTGTGGTGCTGGTTGGTCTAAAAGGCTCTATTCCTTCTATTAAGTGGATGTTCCTTGAGAATGATGAGGGCAATGAATGTACAAATGTGCTTTACACAATTGATGTATGTGTGGATTGTGATAAAAGTTGTATGAGCCCCTACTAAAGCAATGAAAAAAAAAAAAGAATTTCTATTAGTTGGTATTGACTCGATGAGAGAAAAAAAAAATTATGTTCCTACTCTCTTGGGAATTTAGAAATCAAATTGCTAATGCTAGTTAGAGTTAATTCTAAATTCTGATTTGCTTGAAGTTGTTCAGTAAGTGAAAACTGAAAATATAAGTCGTTATTAAAATGTCTCTTTAAGGTACACTGGTACAGATAGGAACTGAAAATACAGGGAATCCAGGATGGATGAGCCCTATAGGACCAGTGGTGTGAGTGGAAAAACAGGGAGGGTAAAGGGAGAAGGGGTAGGAAAGAGGGAACCGATTACATGGAACTGTGTGTGACCTCCTCCCTGGGGGACAGACAACCGAAAAGTGGTTGAAGGGAGACGTCGAACAGGGCAAGAAATGACAAAATACCCATTTATAAACTATCAAGGGTTCATGTGGGAGCGGGGAGCGGGGAGGGAGGGGAAAAATGAGGACCTAATGTCGGGGGTTTTAATGGTGAGAAAATGTTTTGAGAAACGATGTACAAATGCGCTTTACACAATTGATGTGTGTATGGATTGGGATAACAGTTGTATGAGCCCCTAATAAAATGTTAAAAAAAAAAATGTCTCTTTAAAATTTGAGTAGGAATGATATTCTCATTAGTAATTGTATTAAGTTAGGTGAACATTAGAATGTATATATTCAATATGAGGTCATTGAGTACTGCCATACTCAGAACATTTTTATAATTATTCATTAGAAATGTTTTAAATCCATTGAATTCACCAATCATTAATTTGGGGTCCAAATTTAAGTTGGATTTTTTTTTTTAAGAAATAGTCAGAAGTTATTTATGGACTCTTCCAGTGTATAAAAAGATGCTCATGATGGACATATCTATTTCACATAAGAAGACATTTTAAAATATCAAGTAATGAGATTTATAAGCTCTTGATTTATAGCCGTTACTGAGAGAAATCCTAAGAAGGAAATAAAAAATACTTAAAACAGGGATAGCATTGTGGGATCCAGCCCACATCTAGATGGGTTGTAAGGGATGGTTATATAATTGAAGGGAAGAAATCAAGAGGCAGACAAAAGTATTGGGGTGCTCACCTCTTCCATGGTATCAGGAACCAGGTCCGGGAGAGAGAGAAAAAACGTATTCTCACACCATTTTATATAGTCTTGGAGCATGCAAGCCCCTTAATTACAAGTAACTACCTCCATATCAAAGTGGGAAGTACCTTAACTCTAAGGTCCCTGAGCTCATTGGAGGAGTAACCTAACACCAGTACTAGGCGTAGGTAAGGGGGAGTGACTGTCCCCTAAGCACTCAACTCGTCTGCTCCTATAGCTCAAGCTGCCTGCCATTTTCTTGTAGGAGGTAACACTAAGGTAGCACTGTTATGGGAGGATATTGTGGGGATTAATCTTATTATGAGAATGTGATTGGGATTCATCTCTAACTCACAAGTGTATAGGTCTCCCTCCACCCAGAACCCTGGATTCCCAGGCTTCTTAAATATGAGAATAAAGAATTCATCTGCATAGACTTGCTTCCCATTCCTCAGTGTCCCATGAGCATTATTGGAGTAAATACACAACCCTCGGTGGTGACTCTTCTGAAGGACAGGGCTAATTTGCATGCATAGACAATAGTGTATTTGTTCTAAATATGTAATATTCTTTCAACATTATGCAGTTACTTATTGTCATCTTACATTGGCTGCTATCCAAGTATATGCCACAGATTCAGTGTGATTCTTTATTCAGTGTTTTTCTTTTGTTTTAAAAATATCAGTTAAAGAAATTACAAAAGGGAAAGAGAATAGTCTACATTCATTTTAGTGTTCTTCATTCTTTCCTGTAGACCTGAGTCTCAATCTGGTAATCAGTCTTTGATTCTTTCTTTCTCCTTTCATTTCTAGTCTTTTCCACCTCATGTCTTGAGTCTGAGTGTTTCTGCATGTGTATGCACTGAACGTTGCATTAAAATGCAATGCTCAGTTACCAACATGATTAGGTTCCAAAGACAAGGTTGTTATGCAAAAACATTATGTGGAAATGGAGAATGGCCACATCATATCACAAAGTGGAGAATAACTACATCACTCCATAGATGTCAAAGTATATCATTACACTGCCAAATCACTGAGAATCGCGATCCAGTCAAGTTAACACCTAACTTTAATCACCTCAGCCAAGCTATATGCTTGCCTTGCTCCTTGGCATTTGTTACTGCCAGATTTATGTTGTAAATATGCAAAATAATAGATTTTTTTTACTGTGGTCATAAACTCAGCATGTCAGATAGCGAGGTAGTCAATAAGCGAGGAATGAGTGTGTCATTTGTGAAAATAATTTGAGACTTAGGGTGACTTTTTTTCTTTGTGAGAGGATTTTCACTTTTTGCCAGATTTCTGGGAACTAAATTTATTACAATTTCAGAATATGAGACTTCTGGGACTTTCCTAAAATCTGTGCATCTAAAATAGGGCTGCAGCCCTTGATTCATGCTTTGAAATTCCACCCACATTGTAAACTTCTATTCCCACTAGACTTTGGACTCTTCCTTTTTTTTTGTTTGTATAGAGGTAGAGTCAGAAGTGCTAGTCAGGTTTTCAACTGATTCTTTTTTGTTTTTGTTTTTAATCACTTTATTGGGGGCTCATACAACTCTTATCACAATCCGTACATACATCAATTGTATAAAGCACATTTGTGCGTTCGTTACCTTCGTCAGTCTCCTAACATTTGCTCTCCACTTAAGCCCCTGGTGTCAGCTCCTCATTTTTCCCCTTCCCTCTCCGCTCCCCCACTCCCTCATGAACCCTTGATAATTTGCAAACTGTTATTTTGTCTTATCCGACACTGTCCGATGTCTCCCTTCACCCACTTTTCTGTTGTACGTCCCCCAGGGAGGAGGTTATATATAGACCCTTGTAATTGGTTCTCTCTTTCTACCCCACCTTCCCACTTAAGGGATCATCCATCCTGGATTCCCTGTGTTTCCAGGTCTAGCCAGATTTGTAAGGTAGAATTGGGATCATGATAGTGGGGGGGAGGAAGCATTTAAGAACTAGAGGAAAGTTGCATGTTTCATCATTGTTACGCTGCACCCTGACTGGCTCGTCTCCTCCCCGCGACCCTTCCGTAAGGGGGTGTCCAGTTCAACTGATTCTTTAGTGTTCATTTTTCAGTACCCATCACTAATTTGTCATTTCTGGGATGTCTTAAACCAAACCAAACCCACAGCCATCAAGTCAGTGCTGACGCATAGTGACCTCCCTACAGGTTTCTGAAACTGTCACTGTTCATGGGAATAGAAAGCCCATTCTTGCTCCCTCAGAGCTGCTGGTGTGTTGAACTGCAGACCACGTGGATCACAGCCCAATGAGTAACCACTACACCACCCAGGTTCCTACTTTTCCTGCTTTTTTTAGGGGTAGGCATGAACTACTTAGTCTATCCACATTACGATAAGAGAAAGTTCAGTAGTATTTCTTCCACATATATTTTAGAGTTGACTGAGAATTAGAAAATACCTCAAGTACACTTTAAAATTCCATTATGTTGGATAACACGTGTCTATTATATAACATGTATTATTCCAGATTGAATATTGAATTCATAGGCTGCAGTTAAATGAGAGAACTTTACGTAATTTCCCTTTTCTGTCTCTAATGGACTCTTTTCCCTTGATTGTCGTGGATTCAGTTTCTGTTTTAAAGAAACCATCTGTCCCCACAAATATGCTAGCAGCAATAGAACTTAGTAATCACTGAACAAGACACAGATACATTTTGTATTTTGACAAAATTCATCTTTTTAAAATTTCCTTTATTTCCTCCTACTCGGGCTTGAAAAAAAAAAGCATTTATTAAACCCTGCTGATGGGTGTGTTTTGTTATTTCAGTGAGCATGTAAAACGTGTCTGTGGGAGAAAGATGAGACTTTCTGCTCGCTGACAGATGTACAGCCTCAGAAACACGCAGGCAGTTCAGCTCCATCATAGAGGGCACCATGAGCCACAACTGACCTGACAGTGAGAGAGACACAAAGGCTTTTAAAACTCTCAGTGAAAGTTCTACTTAAAACAAGTCAGAAAAGAGTGCCGTTACAGTTTAAAATTGATAGGCTAATTGATTTTCTTCACCATTTATTTTCCATCTATTTTATGATGAATAAAGATCAGAATGATTTTCCAAATTAAACATACAAGTCTTTTCCCCAGGCAGTATTAATCTATCACATTTAAAATGCACTAAATTAAAATAAAGTCATCATCTGGGCATTTCTAGATCCTCAAGTTGTACGTATGTGCAGTTTTTTTCTTAACTGACAGAGGACATGGTGGAACTAATGAAAATATTTTAATGAATAAAGATACACTTGAATACTATTATTAAATAAACTTCCAGGTCTAAAGTGTATTTTTTGTTTTCACTTGGTTTTATAAAGGAACAATAAAATTATTAATCTAGTTATAAACAGTTACTACTAGGAAATTTCCAGAGAAATGGTAGTGTAGTTAGTTAAACATCGTGGCTGCTAACTGCATGGTCATTGGTTCAAACTCACTAACTACCCCACAGAAGAAGGATGCGACTGTGTGGTCCTGTAGAGATTGACAGTTTCGGAAACGCCGTGGAGCGTTCTCTGTCCTGTGGGTTGCTGAGTCAGAATCGATGGCATTGGGTTTTGTTAATGAGCAATTTATTTGGTCAGGGTTGTTTGTTTTTTTTACTGTAGAAAAGGAGCTGCTTTTTCTATTAGACTTCAAGTATAAACATATCCTTTTAATAAAAATTTCCATACATTTAAACAAAAACAAAACATTCTGCCATTGAGCCAATTCTGACTCTTAGCAACATATTGGACAGGTTAGACCTGCCCCTGTGAGTTTCCGAGACTGTGTACCTCATTAGGAGAGTTAAAAGCCTCATCTTTCTCCCTCAGAGCAGCTGGTGGTTTGTAACTGCTGACCTTGCCCAACGTGTACATATCTTTCAACCCAGTACTCCCCATAACTATTCTTTTTCTTATTTTCAGAAGGGCCTTTTTATTACTGTACAGAAGGATTTCCTGTATGATGCGAATTTTTAAGTATTCTTATGTATCATGAAAATATATATCTGTAAAAAAAACTAAAGCATGAACATTAAAGTGCTTATTAGTGTCAGAGGTAGCATTTACTTTTTGAACCAAGTTTTAATAGTGTAGGTAAATACTAATCAAGAGGCAGAACAAATAACTTACCTTTTCATTCTTCTTTCTCCCAGAGTTCTGGGGAGAAAAGATAACCTGTGTTGTATGTGTGAAACTGCTCTATGTGTGAAAGATTTCAATAATCATTGTCCATTTTCACTTAGCGTGGCCATATATCAGGAAGTTACATGACATCCCCCAAAGATCCACATAACAAAAAATTTAAAAATAAAGAATATGATGAGTACAGTACCTACAGCGATGACAACTTTGGTAACTACAGCCAGGAAACAGAGGAAGATTTTGTCAAGCAACTGAAACAGTATAGACAAGCCAAAGAAATCTCAAATTCTGCTGTAGGATCATCATTTTCTAAAGAACCAGGGAAAAAGCAGAGAATGAAAGGATTCCAACAAGGTCAGTCTGAAATTAACAATTTGTTTTATAACATGAGACTCTTCATCCAAAACAGTTAGTGGTGAAGTAAAAGTTTAGAGACTTACTTACCCATTCTCAAGATCAGCTTATTTTGTAGAACCTGAATTTGTTGTTGTTTTGTTTTTTTTATAGACCGTGTATAGTCCTTGAGGATAAAAGTCTACAAATATATAGATATGCATGTTGGCCTAATACTTTAATTAGAAGAAGATACTAATATTTTAAAAGTATACCAAACTGTCATGTTTTTCCTTCTCCCTACTCTCTGAGGTGAAGTAATGAGTCGCAACATTCTTAATGTGATTGTCATTTAGTTATTTTTGATTAAAGAAGTAAGCTTGAGTAAACTGCTTCTAGGATTTTATTTCTTAGCAAAATTCCTCTGACTTATACTGTCCTGGAGTCCAGATGTGGAGTCTAGGACCAGTCTACTTATAGAGAGGACATGCTCACCCTCCCCACCTGAGGTTTATCCTTCCAAGCTCTTCTTTCTTTGTTCTTTGAGGAATTGTGTATCACATTTTATTTTGACATTTGTTTTTCCCTTGAATTTTGAAAGTAATATGTGGTAATATGGAAAACTGAGGAAGGGGCAGTAGTAAAAATCAAGCTTAAAACAAAGATAATTGAAATTCCAATGATGGCAGAAATAATTACTATTACTATGTTTGGTTCATATTCTTTTAGAAATTAGAAATTTTCTGATCATTATTTTGAACCCAAAACTGCATATTATGTTACAACTTATTTTTCCCTTAATTATGAATTGTATCTCAGTTATTCTTAAGTTAATGAATAATTTCTAATATCTTCATTGTATTAGATTAAATAACATATACCATAGTGTGTCTTAACAAGTGTAGAGTTTGTGGGTTATAATCATTTCACATTTAAGTTACCTTCAATTTGTTTGGTTTTTAAACATCTTTATAAATATCACAGAAGACATTCTGGCAATTTTTTTTTTTCAAAGGAATTCCTGAAAAGTAGAATTGGTGGATCAAAAGGTATAGTTGCACGTGTAAATTTTTTTATCCATATACCAAGTTGATTTGCACAAAGATGATATTCCAGTTTACAATACCCCCACCAATGTGTGTAAATCTCAGTATCTCTAAATCCTCCCAACACAGAGGTCTTTTTGTTTGTGTGAGGTGAAAAAGTGATGTAATAAAAAATGTTAATTACTTTGAAACAATTTTTAAAATATTATATATATATCAAATTGCCCTTTTCTGTCAGTTGCCTTTGTTGATAATTTTTCTGTCATGTTTCTTCACGCTTTTTCTGGTTCAAAGAGTCTTCTTTTAAAGTAGTTCAGGAGCCCTGGTGGTGCTGTTGGGTAAATGTTGGATTGCCAGGCTGTCTGCTCTCCTGAAGGTGGTGTACCTCCTTGGAAACCCTATACAGTGCTACTATGAGTTGCAATTGACTGATGACCGTGGGCTTGGTTTGGAAGCTTATGTAGGCCCAACACCACTGACTGCATCAAGTCATTGCTGACTCATAGCAATCCCTGTAAGTTTCTGAGACTGTAACTATTTACAGTAGTAGAAAACCCAAACTGCCGACCACGGGGATCACAGCCCAACTCGTGATCACTACACCACCAGAGATCCTGATATTTGTCTTCAGTTAGTTGTGTATAAGCCATCCAAGCAATTCTTCTAGTCTACTGCTTCTAACTGCAGAGAGCATGAAAATCTGGAGAGCTTGCTAAGACAAAGCTGGCTGGACATACCCCCAGAGTATCTGATTCTGATTCAGGTGGGACCCCACAGTTTGCCTTTCTACCAAGGTCTTCAGTGATGCCCATGTTGTTCTAGATCAGTGGTTCTCAGCCTTCCTAATGCTGTGACCCTTTACTACAGTTCTTCATGTGGTGGTGACCCCCAACCATAACATTATTTTTGTTGCGCCTTCATAACTGCAATTTTGCTACTGTTATGAATCGTAATGTAAATATCTGATATGCAGGATGTTTTTTCATTGTTACAAATTGAACATAATTAAAGCTTAGTAATTAATCACAAAAACAATATGTCATCATATATTGTGAAATATTTATTTCTAAATACAAATAAATGAAATTTTGTCTTGAAGCATGGTGTAGCATGGGTAACAGTCTTCAGGCCAGGTACTCGTATGTGGGCATATCTGCATGTGGGAGGACCCACCTGGAGACAGAGGAGCTGTGTCTCAGTTCCTAAGATCATCAGAAATATGTGTTCCAATGGTCTTAAATGAACCCTGTGAAAGGGTCATTCGACTCCCAAAGGGGTCACGACCCACAGGTTGAGAACTGCTGTTCTAGATGTTTGAATGGCTCATCCCTGTATAAAAAACTTATTTCAGTTGAAGAATGCTATCAGGTATACTTTTATTTGTTTAATAAAAACATATTCTGGGGGGTGGAGGGACATGTTCTGCCTGCCCTCCACCTCATTCACAATAAAAAAATTCATTATAAAAAAATAACAACAACAACAAAATAACAAACATGATCCAGGAAAGTTCTTGATCAGTCAGAGTATATAGTGGGACAAGATCCTAACCATGAACCCCATCAAATGAATGTGTGAAAGTCTCTCACTCTGATTTTGAGAGGCTGTACTCATTCCTGTCTTCCCTAGAAGGCGTCCTGGTGCCACAGTGGGGAAGCACTCACCTGCTAACCCAAGTGTTAGTGCTCAAACCCACCATGCAGTCCATAGGAAAAGGATGTGGCAGTCACTTTCAATAAAGACTGACAGCCTTGGAAACCCACTTTGTTCTGTAAAGGTGTTCGGAGTCAGAATCAGCTGAACAGCAACAGGCCTAGTCTGTTTGCTATTTCCACAAAACACTTCTCTTTATATGAGGCTTCACAAAGTTCAAGAGAAATTGGAATTAAAAGAGTGGAGTTTGTCCATGAACATTTTGAAGTTACTATAATACTAAGCGGTTTATACAGTCTAAGAAGTAGATTGATTTTTATATACAGTTTTTAAAGTAAGGAGCACATTAGAGATTTACTTTTTCATACATCATAATGTAATCCAAGAAACTTTTGGGTTAGTTAACTTTTATGTTTTAAAGGCATTAGAAAATTTACTAAATTAGCTTTGCGAAGTGGCAGTATCATAGCCAATGAAGTTTACCTGAGGTGCAATTATTGCTAATTGAAAAAAGAAAAAGAAAATTTACTAGATTAATACAACTTGGGTAAAATAGAAAACAATTATTGTAACTTTTTACATAATTTTATCAATCAGTATCATTTTAGATATTTATAAATGCGAAGTTCTTAAAAGCTAAATGTTAATATAATTTTCCCTTATCTGTCAATTCCATTTTTTCACGAACTTTTTGAAGCTCCATTTTAAAGTTACATAGAAACTGAATTTGCGCCAAATCAACCATTATGACTTTTAATGTCAAAACCACCAGCTGGTCTGTGGGAGAAAGATGCTTTGTGCTCCCATGAGGAGTTACAGAGGCAGAAGCCCACAGGGCAGTTCTGTGTCCTTAGGGTCACTGTGAGTTGTAATCAACTTGATAGCAGTGAGAATAAGAGCCATAAGGTCTTCATTAAATATAAAAATATTTAATTCACTTAAAAACAGTAAATCCTTGAGACCTTGTTAGTGATCGTATTATAAGGAAGATTGAAAACAATAAAACTAGGAGGTTTGCATATATATATATATATATATCCTGTTTTGCTATTCTTGTGTTACTATCATCCCTTAATAAACAGAGGGACAAAAATAATAACCCAGTAAGAAGAATAAAAGGATTAATTCTTTCCCACTGAATCTAACCCTAATCGAAAGCCACTGCTATTGAGTCAATTCCAACTCATATCAACCCTCTATAGGGTTTCCAAGACTGTATATTTATGGGAGCAGATAGCCTCATTTTTCTCCCACAAAGTGACTGGGAGTCTTGAACTGCCAACCTTGCAGCTAGCAGTGTAGTACTTACCCAGCAGCCCCTGGCTGGACAGGTGGAGAGAAATACACTGTACATCCTTGACTTTATAAAATACACTGTTTCTTGTAAACTAATAGATTGAAATGCATTTTTTAAAACTATGTTAAATGTGTTTTAACTTTTCTAGGTCTTGAACCGAGGATTAAAAGTTATATTGGTCGAGGACATGATCTGCAGAAGAAAATCAAACGCAAAGACCGTGGGGGAAGATCGAATAAAGGCCCTAATATTTATTCAGGAGTGGATGACTTTCACGAGGTACTGAGAGGAGCTTTTTGTAAAAATAATTAAAAAATAATAATTTTATTGGGGGCTCGTACAACTCATCACAATCCATACATATAATCCATTGTGTCAAGCACATTTGTACATTTGTTGCCATCATCATTCTCAAAACATTTGTTTTCTGCTTTATTTAGCCCTTGTTATTAGCTCATTTTCCCCCTCCCTCCCTACTCCTCCCTCCCTCATGAACCCTTGATAATATATACATTATTTTTTTTTTTTTACTTCCGATGGCTATAACCTTTATTTATTTATTTTTTTGCTGTCATTTAAAAAAATCATTTTATTAGGGGCTTATACAACTCTTATCACAATCCATACATACATCAATTGTGTAAAGCACATTTGTACATTCATTGCCCTCATCATTCTCAA